CTAATTCTCCGGGATAATCAGTTGAAGAAAATTCCTGATGTTAGCATATTCAAACAGCTTCTTGTGTTTGATGTTTCTTTCAACGAGATCTCATCTCTTAACGGACTGTCCAAGGTTTCCGTCACCCTTAAAGAGCTCTATGTTTCTAAAAATGAAGTTACGAAGATGGAGGAGATTGAGCACTTTCCTTTACTGCAAATTCTTGAGCTTGGATCAAACAGATTACGGGTCAGGATTTAAATTCTCGAAGGAGATATGTAAAATTCTATTAAGTACTGTCTTAAACTTCCAATAAATGATTGCATTCCTCATTGTGCAATTTTATTCTGTGTTTTCAAGATGGAAACTTGCACATTCCTTGCGTAGGAGTAGTAGGTGTACAAAATATTTTGTTTTAGAAAGTTGCCCGGTTTTAAAATAGTTGCCTGATTTTGAAGTACTCTGCGTATAGGTAATGGAGAATCTTCAAAACTTAACAAGCTTGCAAGAGCTATGGCTTGGACGGAATCGTATTCGAGCTATTAATCTTTGTGGGTTGAAATGCATTAAGAAGCTTAGCCTGCAGAGTAATCGTTTAACTTCCATGACAGGATTGGAGGTACTGAGTGTTGAGTCCTTTTGTGATTGAAGAACTTGTGTATAAAATTCTTTTTTCAAAACTCTACGCAACACTTGTGTCAATATTTTTTATATTTTTTATATTTTTTTATTTGTAGGAGTGTGCTGCATTAGAAGAACTATACTTGAGCCATAATGGTATTGCAAAAATGGAAGGCCTATCAACACTAGTAAATCTCCGGCTCTTGGATGTGTCAGCTAACAAGCTTACAGAAATTAATGACATCCAAAAATTGGAACGGTATGTATATCTATTTCACACATGCAGTTGTACTTATCATCCCCATACACTTGTTTTCACTCTGTCGGTTCTGCAGGTTAGAAGATCTGTGGCTTAATGACAACCAAATAACATCACTAGAAGGAATAGAAGAGGCAGTTGCCGGTTCCAGAGAGAAGCTCACTACCATCTACCTTGAACGCAATCCATGTGTACGTATATATCTTTTCCTCTTGGTTTTAATTAGTCTGTGTTGTTCAAACTGGGAACATCTTTTCATTATATTCATCAGCATCAGTTGGTTCTTGGTTTAGAAAATTCTCATATGGCCTTCCTTTAGTATATCTATTACAATAGCTTCTTATTATGCTAAATCCATTGTACTCCTTTAGCCGTAACATGCCTGCAGTGCGTCCACTTTTTCGAACGGTTTGTTCCTTGGGAACCTCGTGAATGTAGGCTTGAAGTTGCTTTTCTTTTAAGTGTATTTTCTATTCACTAGATTGTGTAGAAATACTTGTATCGTGTCTTTTCTTGCAGTATCGTACTTAATTTTGAATAATTAAGCCAAGGGGCTACAGCTAAATTGCCTGGAGTACATAAGAAGTTTTTTCAAATGGCAGTGACTATGGGTGTAGGATTTGTTTTTCCAAGAATATCGAATATGATTTAGGACCATAATATACATATTTAAATTTGATCTCTGATTGCGCAGTCATGTCTATTGACATTTTTCAGGTACTTCTGTAAAGTAATTATAAGTAAAAACGCCAAAAAAAAATTCTTGAATACTGCATTATCAAGACACTGGAATTATAACTTGCATATCCTCCCATGACTGAAATTTGGACATACGTTTTAGATTATTATGTCCTTTATTTTGCCTGACTTATATCCCGATTCTAATGTTCCTAAATCCTAATTGTTTTCTATCGTAGTGCATTGAGAAAATAGATTTTATCAGTGGCTAGAATGCGGTTACTGTGTTCAGAATTAAATGCACATGGCATGGCCAGTTATATAATTTTCTTCAGTTTTCTTAATCCAACCCCCCCTCCCCGCCCCCGGTTTACTCAGTCAAATTTGGAGTTTTTGACTGCCATTTTTTTCCGTGGAAAATATTCTCCAATCTTTGAAAATATGCATAGTTTTCCTTGATTTTGAGGAAAACATTTTCTTTGGGGGAGGTAGGTTTTTGTATTCCTCAAAACAAGGGAAACGGTTTCTTTTCTAGAACATATTTTCTATGCCAACCAAACACCACCCTAATGAAATATCAAGTTTTCATAATGCTTCTTTCCCCCTTGCAGGCTGAATCTCCGAATTATACTGCCACTTTGAAACAAATCTTCCCCAACGTTGAGCAGATCGATTCAGAAGTGTTTGCTTAATGCATCTAATTTGGCGTATGGACGAATTTTCCTATGAACTTATACAAAGAGAGGAATGTTGATGCAGACACTGGATGGTTCTCGAGCTAAATCTTTCTTAAGAATAAGGAAGCACTTTATTGTGGTTAACAAATCAGAAGTGTTGTTGATTCAGAGTCGTCTTTTGCTTTCTTCTTGCGAGCGCCCATCTATTATGTATAGGGTAATTAGCACATAAAGTTTCCTCATTTCATCTTTACCTTTCATTTTTTTAGCATTTTCATCCGTATTTTCACCTTTCATTGCGTAAAATGTCATTTTCATCTATTTTTTCAATTAAAAATTGTAAAATTGCGAATATACCTTTTGTTTAAATAAAACAAAAAGATAAATTAATTGCAATCATAGTTCCAATTTTTTTTTTTTTTAAAAGTAAATGAGTCACAAATAAATTATTAAAAGGGTAATTAGCACATAATGTTCTTAATTTTCACTATTATAGGGAGAAACATCTATGCCTTTCATTTTTTTTAGCATTTTTACCTTTAATTGTGCAAATTATCATTTCTATTGATTTTCATTCAATTTTTCAACAGAAAGCTATGAAATAATGAATATACCATTCTATTTTTTTTAAAAAAAAATTTTAATTTCTAATTTTTTAATAATTTATTTGGAACTCATTTGCACTTTTTAATTTTTTTTTATATATTTTTAATAAATTTGATTTAAGACTTGTTCGTACTTTTAAAAAAAAAATTCTAATTCTTTAATAATTTAGTTGGGACTCGTTTACACTTAAAAAAATTAATTTCTAATTTTCTAATAATTCATTTGGGGCTTGTTTGTACTTTTTTTAAAAAAAAAATAAATTAAGTTCTAATTTATTTGGACTCGTTTTCACTTTTTTTTAAAAATTGGGGACTATAGTTACAATTAATTCTTGAGTTTTTTATTTAAATATGAGGGTATATTCATCATTTCAAAACTCTTTATTGAGAAATTGAATGAAAATTAATAGAAATGATGGTTTGTGCAATCAAATGTGTAATTAGGAGTGAAAATATAAAAAAAAGAAAGGTAATGACTTTTTTTCTGCAACAATAGTGAAATGTAGGGACTTAATTACTCTTTTAATAATTTATTTGGGACTCATTTGAACTTATTTTTAAAAAAAGGACTATGATTACAATTAATTTTTTTCTTTTATTCAAAGAGAAGTGTATATTCGTCATTTCACAATTTTTAATTGAGAAAATGAATGAAAATGACCTTTTGCCTAATGGAATGTGGAAATAAGGGAATGCCAAAAAATAAAAGGTAAGAACGTTGTCCACAATAATAATAAAAAGTAGGGACGTTATGTGCTAATTACCCATTATGTAAATCGTATTTGGTATCTTACATTTTTTTTCCCCTTGTTTCCAAGCTCGTTTGAAAGAGAAATCTACCGGTAAAAAGGAGAAATTGCGCCTACAATGAAAAGGTATGGTAAAAGAGTAAATTCACACATCACTTATATGTAAAATAAATAATATATGTGCGTATATATATTCAGAAAGACTTGAATTGAACTCCAAGATCTGTCGTGCACTTTTAACATGGAGCAAATTGACAAATCTCACCTTGTGTAATTTTAATGGACTCGAGACATGACATGCGTTAATGTCCGATCCACCGTCAACACTAGTTTGATATATTATTAACTATACAAATTTCGTCCGAGTTTCTCCTCTAAAATATGCTAATCTGATCTTGATCGCAACATGACCTCTTCATCACTTATATATGAAATAAAATGGACTAAAAAGTTTATCATCTATGAATGGAAATGTTCTCCTGTCCACGGTGGACAGAATAAGACTGTCCACATACTGATGTGGCAGGAAAATCCAACGTTGAGTTCTTTCCAAATGTGAGAACCCAATGTTCGGTTCTCTTCGAGTGGGCATTATAAGACTTCTCACCATGGGCGGGAGAACATCTATGAAATCTAATTACTCACAAAAAAGGGGAAAAAAAAATCGTTTTTGAATGTCATGACACTTGGCTACTAATGAAGAAGAAAAGCGCACGTGCATTGACTCTACCATCCAAGCTAAAAAAATAGAAATCTTGGGGATAAATTTTGTCCGAGATTTTGTGGACGCCTCGAATCTTAGAAGGCCCTTATGCTCCTCATCACCATGGCCCTCCACCCACCGCCCTATCTTTTGAATTTCCGAATATATAGACACACATCTCTATCAAATATATTGTTTTAAATGGTTTTGGTTGGTCATACGTATTCGTAATAATTGAGAAAACTTTTTATTTTTTATTAATAAAATTCGGTATTCACTGTTCGATTCACTAAATTCCGTTAATAAAAACTATTAGAATGTGCATGTAAAGACGCTATCATTTAACTAAATTTGATTGTTTTAAAGAAGTTTTGAAGCACAACCAATTTGCCAAACCGAGTTCACGCTATGTAAGAATTTCATCCTCGACATATACATTATGCTAGTTTTCATAATGATGGAATTGAGCGAAATGAACAACACAATAAGGACCCGTTTGAGATTAAGGTACCTTAGATCAGCTTCTTCTATAAACTCTTTTAGTTAAACAAAGCGCTTTAAAAAAATTGTTCAAACGTGTGCAAAAACAACTTCTTAATCTCAACAGCAGCTTTTGATCTTTCAAAAATTTTATCAGATGTTCCCTAGGTAAACGAAAATTGAATTCTAAGGGCCTGTTTGGTACAGCTTTTCATTTTCTACAGTAAATCAATTCTCATTTTCAACCACACATTCTTCAATAAAATAATATTTTCCATCACATCAATACTTTTTTCTTCTTTTTCAACCACACATTTCCCATCATATCACTATTCAAAAATCAATTTTTCCCCTAAAAATTCCTACCAAACACACTCT